ACTAATCTTCGGCACTTATTATAATATTATATGACATTAGCCTACTGTGTTGCAAGTGCTGTAAAACACTAACTAAAACAAACAAATAACAGGTGGGGATTCAACCCTCCCTGTCTGTCAGAGCCAACCTGGGCTTAGAGGAATACAAACATCCTGCCTAACAGAAAGACAGAGATACTGGTACTTCATGTTGTCGATCCAGCAGAGATAATAAAAATTGCTCCTGCATGGTCAATCAAGCATCTATCTAATTGACACAGCACAGAGGCCAGTTTAAACGGAAGCTAAGTGCCTTAAGACAAAAAGTTGAAGAGTAAGCTATAAACAGAGTAATGTAATGTATTCAGGAGCTTTGACTCTGCTTGTCAATACAATGTACTGCTGTAACTTGCCGTAAGCTGACAAAACACCTTTTCTCTCTTCACAGCAGTTTCAACAAAAAAGTTTTTTTTGTCAGCGTAATCATTGAAAAAAGTTATGAAATTTGAATTCTAATTAGCCTACTTCAAAAACTTCTAGTAACAGAGTTTCAATTTGTTTTGTTTTTTTCATACAAGAATGGTACTGATCAGGCTTTTCGTGTAGTTATAATTTAACAAATTTGGCGCCAAAATGAATAAAAGGCATTTTGTCAGCTTGCGGCAGAATAGGCAAATGGAGAGAAACGTTGTAGGCCTACTCCATAAAAGACTTTTCCAATAAGGGAATCTTACAAGTGGAGTGGAAAAGAGCTTGACCATTACACCACAGACTCTGTGACAGAGGCAGGTGTTCCCAAAACACAACACAAATGTTAGCGAAAACGAAATATAGAAGGAACATCGGAAGAATCTTAAGAATTTGTCTTTTAATGTAGGCGTTTTAACACCCCCATTGACATGATTTAGATCATTTAAGAAAGAGGTGGCCTTCTGATGCTGTATTCTTACAGTCAGCAGGGCCAACCTGGGGGAGAGGGATACATTGCCCAGCAACTGATGAAACATTGAGATACTCAATTAAATTTTCACCCCACTCAGGAATGGAATTCAGGTCTCCTTCCTCCGTGCTGGAGCAAAGCACCTAACCACTATGTACATCATTTCAGATAAATCTTCAGATCAGAACATAAGAAAGCATTGTTACCTCAGCTGGTACCACGCTGAATTATTACACGGATCACCCTGGCTCAAACTGGAATCATAAACAGGGACTTTTTTAATTCAGAATTGGGATTTTTGTCTAGTTTATATTAAATTATATGGCTCTCCACCTAGAAAAACCACTCATCAAGCCCTGAGGTACAGCACTGCTCCAAGCACCAATGATACTAATGTAGGCTACTCAAGCAGCTTGAACAATGCCAAAGACCGTAACAAGATTAGTTCACTCCTCTCTTTGTCGAGCCAATTAAAATGTCCTCAAAATCCGGTTGCCCCCCCCCCCCCCCCTTTGAAAAAAAAAGTGCGGACTTTGCTAACAACAGAGTTACCCTACGTGTGAAAAATACTTTAAAAAGTGAAACTAACAAACTGCTATTCCTATTCTTCTTCTGGGGACATGAAAGAGAGCTTCAAAACAAAAACTGCAGCGCCATCTGCACCAATGAGCGGACACTTACATTTTTTTGGCTGAGTGAACTATCTTGTTATGAACAATCTTTGGTAAGGCACCACTCGCGAGTAACAAGTAGGCTACCAGAACATGCTAGACGCAGCGCTACTGTCCACACTATCAATACAATATAATAGTAATACAGCAGTAAAACGTGGACATGATTTTTTTTTGTTTTAGTTGGTTTTACAACGCTCGCAACTGCACAAGGTCATATGAGCGCCAGAAGATTAGAGGTGTTACAAGAGAGTAACAAACATAAAAGAGAAGGAGGGGGAGATAAGGACGATAGATGTTTGATAGGAAAGTAAAAGCAAACCACACCAGAGCATCCACCAACCACCCACGTGGACTTTGATGACAGATTGGACTCACCGATAAGAATAGGAGGAGGAATCCCATTTTCTTCCTTTATATCATAAAAAGAAAAAATACAATGTAAACCTAATCAGTGCCACAATTTTTTTGGTTGATTCCAGAGTGGGGCGAATTTTTAACGGGTATCTCGGTCTTTCTGCTGGGAGGATGTTTTGTCACTCTGGCAACCTGGTGGTTGGAGGGCACCACTGGTACTGGTAGGCCCTACTTCTTTACTTTCCCTCTGTTGTTGTTTCCGTCTGTCTGTTTTACTTTGTCTCAGTTCTCAGCACTAAATTACCACTATTGTGTTGATGTGCTTCTCTTTACTCAAACAAACAAATGGCCACAACAGGCAGAGTCGAAGCCCCCTTTCTAAGTTATCAAAATTATGTTGATGAGTTGATGGGGGTATAAAAGACCTACATGGTATATTACTTAGATCTACAGACATAGACTCATTTGTTCTCTAACTAACAGAAAGTACTCCAGTATTTCTTCCAACTGCTGTCAAGTCATTTCCCAGGAGTTACTGACCAGTATTGTCCATCGTGTTGTTCATGTATAATCTCTCGAATTAAAAAAGGGCACAGAAGAAAATTTAAAACTCACAGCAGTAAACTGACAAAAGACATCTGCCCATCTATAGAACCCTTCCACACTGTCAGAACAAGGCATGACACCAAAGAGAGCCACAATAATACTTAATACAGAAGCCGACAACAACAAAAAAATAGTAAAGACACCAAACTTGTTTACAGTAAAGGACATTTTTTTAAATCAACCATGGCCAAAAAAAAGTTTACAAATTAAGTCTTACAGTCAGAGAATCTCACTTTTGCAGCATTCATCAAGAAACAGGGAGGTCAATCTTCACACTCCGGCACACACTCACTCACTGTCCATTATACTTATACATAGATAAATGTTCACACCCTTACACATTCTCTCTCACACATTCTCTCCCTCCCTCAACTATTACTTTTATACATGTATTATACACATTCAATATACAATGACAAATCAAGATCTAAACAGTACATGTACAAAACACCCCACTGGCACAGAAATAAACAAAAGCAGCAACAAACAAAGACAGAATAAACAGTGAAGACAAGAGTGGCTTCCCTGTTTACACTAGACAGAAGGCTACCGGTCCACAAGCTTCAGAAATCTAAACAATTCTTTTGCAAACTTCCTCCCTGACATAATTTGGGACCTTTTCTTTTAACAATCATGAAATATAAATGCATTATATATATATACATGTATGTACATGATAAACTTCGCTGACTAAAATATTTCTTACTTTACAGAAATTACAATGTACAATGTACCATTAATCTTTCACCCCAACAAATAGTAGAATCTACGCATTTTTCAGTATCATAACAAACATGATATTATTAAAATCTTAATTTATTAACTCTGGCATTGTTCTCTTCCATACTCAGTACACACAACTCAAAACTATTTTAGCTGCGCTGAAAGAGGTAGGCATTACAAATTTTAATACTACATACAATGGGTGTATTTTTTTTCAAATGAAAAAACTTACACACATACACACGTCCTTTAAGACATGGGCAACATGCAGGGCCGAACAAGGTTTATTTAGCACCAACAAAAAATTCAATCACTGAGTACTGAGTGGGTCAAAATGTTTTATCAAGTAGGGATCTTTCAGCCGGGGATTCACATTGTAATCCCTCTCAGCAAGGGTTGGTCCTGACAGTAGTGACAGGCAGGGTCACAGCCTGCCTCCTAAAAATGACCTAAATTGTGTTGACGGAGCCATAAAAATATCCATTATTTAGTCATGAAAATATACCAAAATGTGCACTATCAACTTGCATCCTGTCCCGTTTCTCTGTCCTACAACCACATCTGGGTCCAATGACTATGATGATTATGGTGCTGGTTGGTAATGTTACTAGTAGTATAACACACAGGCAATAGCAGAAAACAAAACTAACCTGCCCTTCTTTCAAACATACATTTGTCACTTCTGAGTACAATGTTTTCAACCCCAATCAACACAATCTTCAATCTACTAAGTTATTTAAAAAGCCGTCTGCTACGAAACTAGGACAACCAAAGGGTGAAGGGTACAGTACATTCCAGCAGAAAAACAGAGATGGGACAAACCCAATACATGTATGTATACGTACAGTTGAGTCAAACCAGTTTTAACAGCAACCTGTCAAAGACAATCACCTGTACAAAATGCCCCCTCCCCGACTGTAGCCTATGTAGGCCTATAAAATACCATTCCCTACTTCTAACAGATCGATAATGAACTCACCCTCTGTATTCAATGGCGTAACTAATTATTATTTTATACCCCCAGCCCCACTTCGCTTAGTTACCCCCACGTTTTGCCAATGCAAAGGAAGCCTATGAACATAATATTTGCCTCTTTGAAAATTAAACTGCCATCTGTTTTGAATTTGAACAGTACAGTCCTGATACTTGTACTACGGTAAGGTAAGGAATGTAAATTTGTCCCTGCCACCCAGCTTTAGTTTTAGTAAGTTCTACGGCACTTGCCACACAATAAGGTCATGAAGTGCGAAGAATAGATGTGTTACAAGAGAGTAACATACACAAAAAAGAAGGAGGAGAGATAAGGACGATAGAAGTTTGATAGGACAAAAGAAGCAAACCACACCAGAGCACCCGCCAATCACCCACTGCCAGAAAACAAACCACCAGAGGTATCAGTACACACCACACACAGCACACACTCAGCAGCTGCACAATGATAATCTCTCTTTCTCCCACATAAGACTCTGCCAGATATAGCCATCATCACATGCACCGGCGTCTGTTGTGTAGCAGTTAGGGCAAAGGGCTTCACTGTCTCACACAGGAGACCAGAGTTCAATTCTCACGTGGGGCTCAGACTCAGTCTATTGTCTCTGTCTTTCTGCTGGGATGTTATATATTCCTCTCAGCCCAGGTTGGTCCTGATAGTGATAGGCAGGGTGGGGGTCCCACCTCCTAATGATCATCTAATTTACGTCGATGGGGATTGGCGTGTAAAATTATTTTTTTTCTATCACATTGGGCCATCACATTAAATTTTTTAATAAGGGGAAATAACTCATAATAATATTGTCCGTAATCTAGTCAAGACAGTATCATTTCCCTTGAGTATTGGGCAGTCAACACTAAAAATATTAACTTATTAACAGAGGATGGCATTGAAACACATTCCACCGCTAGCCCCACTATACTGCCAACCCCGTGCCCGTCCCCAAGTTGGTGGCACACCAGGATTTGATTGTAGCCTACATAAAGGACATCTTAAATCATATTTTGTGCACATGGTATGTCTGAAGCAATAAAAACTTTCATCTATATATGATATCATAAAAATAAATATAGTACACCACATTTGAATCTGGGCAATGCCATTTGCACATTAAATTCTAAATACTTGAACTGGGAACAAAATATTTTAATTCTAATGTTACTTGGGGGGAAAAAAACTACATGTAGGCTACCTGTATCAACCTATTAACATGAAAATCAGTTAATTTCCCATCAGTTTCAACATGGTCTGAGGATTTTAAAAAAAGGTATTTTCATGCTCTTTTTTCCTACAATAACTTGGTTTTATCAGGAAACATTTCATAAGCAAAGTCTCCCACCACCCTCTTTCAAACCTTCAAAGGAAACCAACAGACAAAATAAATTTAAATATAGAACCAGTACTTTCTTTTAAAAGCAGAACACATTATGGCTTCCTTTTATCCAATCAGCAAAAAAATTAAAATGCTGCTCTAGAAATATATCAGAAATACATCCATTCCACTATGCATATAGCCAACAAATTTCAGGTCCAATTTAAGTATATATTTCTTTGTATTAAAAACACCCACAATGCGAGGGGGGGGGGGCAGCACCTCGAAAGTCCCGATTCGGCTAAAAACTGGAGATTTAGCTTCTTCGGCTTCTCTTACAACTATTTCATTGCATAAGAACCCCCTAAAGCCATATTTCTTCCCATACCGGGCGTGTTTGTCACCACCATTTCTTCATTAAGTCAATCTTTTATTTTTATTTTTCGCCCATTTTCTGGAAACGTGGTTTTTCTAAATTTACTTTTTTAAATAACTCCCCAATGTTTCATCCAATCTTCATGAAATTTTCATTTCAAATAGAGGAAAGGAAATCATACAGTATTCGAACGGTACTGCCACGCTTCAAATAGCTGTGAATAGCACAAAAATTGTATGTTGAATTTGAAGTTCATTAGGCACAGCTCTACTATAAAACAAACCAACAAGCATGTTGGCATGTTATTAGGGGCATAACTCATGCAGAATTGTTACCCAATTGTCAATCCTACTTTGTTTATTTCCCCTGATATAACCTGAATTTCAACGTATAATTTGTGATGAAATGAAAAGATTTCGTTCCCCGTTGGTCTCATAATGTGCCTGCTAGACAATAATTACAAAAACATACAAGACAGAATACATTAGTAATCCTCATGAGAATGCACATCCCCCAGGTATTCACAGATGTCATCATACAACAATTTGAGAACTGTGTCTCTGTCAGAGAGGAGCTGCACTAGGGCTAGACAGCGATCCTTGTCGCGCTTCATGATCCTTCCAATCTGTCCACGGTGAGAACCCGACACAATAGCCACGTGGGCATCGTCCGAGCGAGGAATCACAGTCTCAACAGATGATTGGGAAACACCCTCGACAACTTTGCCATCATCTGTCCTGCAGATGCACGATCCTGGGAAAGGAACATCAACCACAACAACCTTTTCTTTGTAATATCGTCCCTTCTTCAAGTCTTTGTCAATTATACGAACTCTCAGATCATTGCGTAGCCACGGTCTTTGACTCTGAACAGTTTCCTCCACTTCCATGTCACTGCCAGATTCAGACGAATCATATTTCGAATGATTTTTCCGTTCATGTTTTGAATTTTCACCTCTTTTTTCATCTCTATTTGATTTGTGATGTCTTTCACTTTTGCTTCTCTTAGAAGAGGAATCTCCTCTATCATCTTCATACCTTTTATCTTTTTTATGCTTTTTGTGTTTGTGCTTTGATGATTTTAGGCTTTCATCAGATTCTGACAGTTCACTTTGTCCTCTATCTCTCTTATAACTTTTACCCTCATGATTATCATGACCATTTCGATTTTTACTTCCTTCAGACAATTTCTTTTTCTCATCTTCAGTGTACTTGTCTGCTTTACTCTTGTTGATATACTTGGAATATTTTTCATATTCCACCTTGCTCACAACACGCACATTGCACTGCATTATGCTAATTGTTTTTCCACTGAGAGACAATTTCACCATCAAACGACTGTTGTCTTCATCAATTCCATCCACAACTCCATACAAATCTTTGTTTACACCACTAGTAACAATACAAAAGGCACTTTTTTTCAATACAAGTTGCTCTTCCTCAGCACTAGAAGTCTTTGCTTTGCCATCAGTTTTGTTTGTACCAGAATTGCTTCTTTCAGCACCTAAACCTAGCCCTTTGGGTCTTAACTGAGCTTCAACAGGGGCTATTACTTTTCCTTTCTTCCCAATGCCACGGCTTTCATTCCAACCCATACCTCTCAACATTGCCATTCCAAAATGTTCAATCGGTATCTGATCGTAGTCTGCATCATGGGGTTCATCAGGACGAAGACCAACATCTAACTTTTCATCTGATTCAAACCCTTCTGGAACTTTGTTTTGCATCAAAAGTGGAATAGCTAGGGTTGTGTCAACTTTTCCACGATCTTCCCACGTTTCATTGTATCTTGCCGTTTCCTGAAGAATCTCCTTCGCAGCCTTTTGCTCTAGGCTATCATTTATTTCATCATGTCCATTTAGTGCATCAGAACCCTTCTCCTGAACTTTTTTCACGTTATTTTGAGAACCTTCCTTTTCATTTACTCTCCACTTATTTTGGCGTATCAACGGGATCACATACTCGTGGTTCTCGGATCCTGACTTGTCCCCACCTTTCGATGACTTTACTTCCTTACCTTCCAAAGAAGTAACATAATCTTTGCTCTCATCTTCCCCATCAACATTCTCGCCCACTGCTGACTTAGAAAGCTGCTTTACTTCTTGTCTTTTTTGAAAACCAAACGAAAACCCACTGCTGGGTCTCTTCTCTTCCTTGTGTTCGTCGTCCATGTTTGGAAACGCTATGTAAACGTCCGGTGTTTGTGCTGTTGTAAAACTCAAATAGATTCTAGCCTATTGCACGACGAAACAAACTACTCAGACTACATGTTTTACTCCTACTAGCAACTGTAAAAACGTTACAAAGTTTGATTTAGGTACGGTATTAATAGCTTTCATGTTTATTTTAATTATATTGACTGTGTTCCTACCAAGATGGACAGACAAATATATTAATTCATAAAAATGACCCGTCGTATTTTACTTTTCAGCTTGTACTTTTACGTTTACTGCAAGGAGATTAAAAGTAATGGAGGATGCTCTGTCGGCGGCACCGCGCGCCTGATAGGAGCCCTCTCTCGCGGCGGAACTGTGGTCTACCT